TCTGCTTTATGAAGGTTTCACTGAATACTGGGACAAAACTTGGAGAATTTAGAATGGAGAGATGTGGACAGGAATGATATCGCAATCCAATTTATGATGAGTTTTTAGTTAGCATTTTTTGTGCATAACCTTTAACTAGTTTATTTACCAACCTAGTTGAACTCTGTAGTATGAAAAGGCAACCTCAAATATGCTATTTTTCTCCACACCTACCCTTTCTTCACATTTTTATAACATTTAAAAGTTACTAAACTAATATTTTTCTCTAAAGAAGCATTGAGACTATAAATTACCTAATATACCACTCATAATTCCAAATACGCACAACAATTTTTTAAAATATATAAATACTAAAATGTTATAATAGCAGAAGAGGTCAATATACATTCGTGGAAATCTTCAACCACAACTGAACTCCCAAGATGAGAACAGAGCCTTTTAAGCTAATATTTTTGAGCTAACACTAGTATAGAAAATAAAAACTCTCTGTGGCCATGCCGCAAATGTTTTAGTGTCAACCTAGGATTGTCCTACTTGTTTTCTTTTTTCATATAACACCTACTTTGTTAGAAAGGGTAAATGAGTTGTTGATCTTATTTCAAATCACACGAATATATACAGCCTTATCAGAACTAAGTAACACTGTTTTAAGAATCAGAGCCAGACCTGTCCAATGCAAAAAAGGAAAATGAGAAACTTTAAAAGGTTCATTTGTTCTCTTTCAAATCACTAATTTAAATTGTCAAAATTTAGCTGATCAAAACCACCACTCATATTACATAATTTACCCAGGTCTTGACTAGGGTGACGTGGGTCAGCAGAACTGGAGGTGCACTCTGGAAGGAGGCAGTGCTCTCACGGTCAACCCTGTGTGCCGAGTGTGGGCACCTCCTTACATTTTGTGCTCTATGTGCATTGCTTGCCTTGCTCTAGCCTTAGCCCTGATTTTCACTTTCAAAATATATTTATCAGAGTTATTCTTATCCAACTGTGATCTATTGGCTATTCTGAGCACATCGTCCCCAGAGCCATGAAGTAAATAAGTCAATCCTGCAGACTCTTTGTTTCTTTGAATTCTAGTGAATGTTTGAGTGAATGGATGAGCATTTCCAGGGATCACCAGCTGTTCTCTGTCCATATAAACAGTTTGCACAGGCCTCTGCATCTGCATATACTATGTAATTTGTTATTAACTGGTTTCTTAGATTTGATCAGATTTGATTTACTAAGCTTTAATTTTTACTTTGTTTTGAAAAGAAAAATAGTTGCTTTTCTTTAGATGTCTGGCATTATGAAAATCCACACTGTTCAATTATTAAAATATAATTCCCAATTAAAACATTAGTTGTCTAAAATGGGGAGAGACATAGGCATTAAGGGCTGGCTTACATGCCTTCACAAATGTGTGTTCACACTCAGCAGGAGTGGGACTAAAGGAATGTCACTGCTAGTTAGTTCTCTGTTTTCCCGGTAGATCTTGGAAAGAGGGAGTGGGGAGGATGCTGGTGTGACTATACAATTCTTACCAAGGAAAGAATACACTGGTATAACAGCTATAATTTTCTTTCTTCCCCATATCATCTCAATCTTTTTTTCCCCCTACCTGATGCAGTGGTTCTAGGACCAGGTCTTGCAACTACAGGACAAATGCTGTAAGCAGGGATGATTTCTAAGCAAGAAACTGTAACAATGTTTTTAAACCTTATGTCAGAATTCCTAAGGGCCTGATAGGAGTGGGTTGTGCCTTCACCCCATCTGGAAAAATTTGGGATTAACAGTGATTGCAGCTATATTGCCTGGTGGTAAATATATCCAACTAGTTCTGCAGCTGTGTAACCTTACCTTATATGAATGGAAATGAACAGAGGGGGAGGCACTTGCTACACTAGTATTGCTGCTGGAATTCTAGACAAGCACAGTGGCTGATCCTAATGTCCCTTCCAAAGGTAGAAAAGTTTGGATATTAACGGAGAGAAGGAGAAATAGTAGCTGAGGGTAAAGAAATGAATAAGTGGGTTATAAAATGAGGGAGACATATTCATGTAATATGATGATAGACTGGACTAATTATTAATGACTGAATGAGTTTCTAGTAATGTGCCAGTGTCTTTTGAATTGTTTTGTTTTGTTTTCTGATGGATGGTTAGTACAGGGATCTGAACCCTTAACCTTGATCATGCTCTAACTAACTGAACTAATTGGCCAGCCTGCATTTCCTTTTGATGTAAGGGATCTGTGTTTGAAGCCCAGGGGGTGGAGTGTGAGATTGTGAAAAAATATATTTTGTCTTCAAAAACAAACAAACAAACAAAAATATATACATATATAATTGCCCAAATGAAGATGTACTGTCAAATGTGTAAAAATTAACTGACAATTATTTAACTGAATATTTATCCATACAAATTTCACTGATGCCATGTGGTAGTAGGCAGTCCATATGAGTAGTTTAATCTCGTTAGTATTAATTCTCATGCATAAACAAAAACAACTCAAAAAGACACCGATACATAACTAGAATCCCATATTTGCTTCTCAACCCACTAAGTAAAGCATTTTAGTTTTTTTTTTTTTTTTCCTTTTTGTCTTTTTTTACTGACTGGTAACGGGATTGCACCCCGCGGTGTTGTGCCCACACCGCGCTCGGCCAGTGAGCGGGAACCGGTCTCCACATGGGATCTGAACCCTCGGCGGGAGCGCCGCCACGCTCCCAAGCGGCGCACTCTCCAGTGTGCCACTGGGCTGGCCCAGCATTTTAGTTTTTATTGGACTCGTGAATAATGTGATTCCAAGTATGACATATAAAATATAAAAATCAAAACTGCTCATATATTTTTCAGAGTCTAGCATAATCATTTAAAATCAAAGGAGAATTGCCATTCTGAAAAAAATACTTGTTACACAGCTTTATTAAAAAAATGTAGTTCAGGGCTGGCCCATGTCTCACTCAAGCTTTATTAAAAAAATGTAGTTCAGGGCTGGCCCATGTCTCACTCGGGAGAGTGTGGTGCTGATAACACCAAGGCTGTGGGTTCAGATCCCATATAGGGATGGCCGGTTAGCTCACTGAGTGAGTGTGGTGCTGACAACACTAAGTCCAGGGTTAAGATCCCCAAACCGGTCTTTAAAAAAAAAAAAAAAAAAAAAAAGTAGTTCATACATCTGAATAGTCATCTGTAATTACTATTTCTTAAATATTCAATTTCAAAAACATTTGTGAAAATTCCACACAGTAAATGAATCAGGCTTCCACAGTGAAGAAACAACTACTGGAAGGCAGAATCCTAAGATGTAAGTGCCAGTAGTAGTCATGGGTAAGGCCTGGAATGTAGGAAGTAAGAAAAGGGAGTAAATATCTTCAGAGAAGCTTTCCTAACTCTGTAACCTGTTGTTAAATTGACCTATCTACCTAAAAGTCACCTCTAAAATCTAGTCCAGGGACGACACCTTCTTATCCCTTTCACTCATCACATAGAAGACACCTTTAAGAGAATCCACTCATTTCTAGGATATAGACAATCCTCCAATTCTTTGATACTGTTTCTAGGATATGTAGCTTTGAACTGTTTCCAGTAATAGTCCCCAGTTCATTTCTCTCAATAATATACCTCCGATAATTTCTTCCCAAGCATCTGGTATACCTTTCCCAAACTAGGAAATAATGTCTTCAGGATACTCATAAACCAATGATCTGTTTCGAACAGTTCTTTCTCTTTTAGAATAACAAAATCATAAAAGATGGCTAAGACGAGGCAGTGATAGATCAGTGGAAAAAATGCTTTGGATAAGAAAACTAGGCTTAACAATACCAATTGCTGATGAGGATGGAGAGCAGCTGTAATGCTCACCCATTGCGGCTGGGAATGCAAAAGTATGGTCACAGTCACATTAGAAAAGTCTTGCAGATTCTTAGAAAGCTAAACATACATTTACCATACAACTCAGCAGTCACACTCCTGGGTATTGACCCAAGAGAAATGGAAACATATTTACACAAAAACCTGTACACAATTGTTTACAGCTGTTTTATTTTTAGATGTCTCAAAACGCAAAGAACTCAAATGTCCCTCAACTGGTGAGTGGATTAACAAACTGTGATATATCCACACAATGGACTATTATTCATCAATAAAAAGGACCAAATGACTAACATTTGCAATAATGTGGGTCAATCTCAAATGCATTATCGTAAGTGAAAAAAAGCCAGACTCAAATGGCTACATACTGATAATTTCATTTATACGACATTCTATAAAACAGAAGTAGGTATAGAAAATAGATTAGTGGTTGTAAGGGCTGGGGGTTGCAGAAAAGAGTCAATTCTAAAGGGCCATAAAATAATTTTGGGGGGTAGTTGAACTATTCGATTGTGGTGGTGGTTACATAACTGTATGCATTTGTCAAAATCACAAAAATATATGCTAAAAAGGGTGAATTTTACTGTTTGTATATTTTGCCTCAATAAACCTGACTTAAAAAATAAAACAAAACTGAACTTATCTCTTAGTTACTAATTGGCCTCTTGGGCAAGCCACTTGAGTCATTTCTCCTTCTATAAAATAGGGATTATATTTACTCCAAAAGATTTCTGGTGAGAAACAAATGATAAAAATAAAAGAACTTTATAAACTTTAAAACTCAATACAAATATTTTATACTAGGCATTGGGCATACAATGATAAATAAGACACAGTACAGTAAAGAAATTTACTGTCTAGTGGTAGAGATGAAACAGATAATTATTAAATAATATGGAAATCCAATGACAGAGATATGGACAAAGCAATACTGGTCAACAAGAAGGGGCATTCCAGGAATAAGAATAAACTCTAAGAATAAAGTATATCACAAGAGTAATAAAAAAACGCCAGATCACAGTGAGATGAAAATGTGAGAAGTCATTAATGAACACAAACAACTGGAATCCAGTAAACTTAACCCAATATGGATTCTGAAAAATCCTAAAACTGTAAAAAATTATAATAAAATGGAAAAAGTACCTCACGATGATTTAGAAGTTGTTCTAAATCTAATGCCATTTGATTCTTCATCTGTAGTAAGGCTGACTTTTCTTTATTTAAATTGCTGAAAAAAAAAAAACGCCAAAATATCCAAGATTAAAAAAGTCATCATGTTACTGTAAATTTAGTTAATAAATAGTAAATAGCAAGAGAGTAAATATAAATCTGATGGTTTAGATTAAAGATAAATTACATTTATAGTCCAAAAAGATACTAGACCAGCCACTGTAATGTCTGACTAGACGAATGGCCTAGCTATTTTGTCGGAAGCCTCTTTTTCTTTTAATAATCATTTGACAATGCAACTGAGATGTTTCTGAGAATATTTTCCTGCCCAGTACGGGCATAAAATCAGTGTTTTAAAGATACTTATTCCTGAAATGTAAAAAGATGAAGCAGGACTTATATAAAAGGCAAAAAGAGGGCCAGCCCGTGGCTCACTCGGGAGAGTGTGGTGCTGATAACACCAAGGCCCCGGGTTCGGATCCCATATAGGGATGGCCGGTTCGCTCACTGGCTGAGCGTGGTGCTGACAACACCAAGTCAAGGGTTAAGATCCCCTTACCGGTCATCTTTAAAAAAAATAAATAAATAAAATAAAGGCAAAAAGAAAGTATACATGGGCAAACTACTAAAACACAAGATATTGGAAGTCAAATTAAAACATGTGTCCTTAAAACTAAAAGTGGTATTTTATTTTATTTTTATTTATTTATTTTTAAATTAAATTTAATTTTTTTAATATACAGTGGGGTTGATTATTGTGGCCCATTACTGAAACCTCCCTCCCTCCTCCCTCTCCCCCCTCCCTCCCAACAACCTCCCATCTGTTCGCTTGTATCAACTTCAAGGAATTGTAATTGTTGTGTCTTCTTCCCTCCCCCCTCCCAGGTTGTTTGTGTATTTATTTATTTATTTTTAGCTCCTACAAATAAGTGAGAACATGTGATATTTCTCTTTCTGTGCCTGACTTGTTTCACTTAATATAATTCT